GAGCCTTGAGTACCTAAAGCTCGAGCCTGGAACCTAGTGCTCAAGCCCATGAAGCTTGGATCGAGCAATGTTAAAAGATTTTAATCCCAAAAATATTCTAAGTGTTGAATAAAAAGACGCTTCGGAAAATAGTTGAAGAAAATTGGCTAAGTATCAAAGTGAAGATCAAACACCATTCCTTGAAGCTCAAGCATGCATGTAGAGAAGCTCGAGCCTGAATCTTAAGGCTCGAGCTTGACTTCTTAAAGCTCGAGCTTTCCATGGCAGATTAGATTTCAAGTTACGGGATTATTCCTTTTTGAAGAGTATCTCATCCAGATGGGGCAAAAGACCTAAAAGCCCACCAGATCCTTATTTTCTTCTATAAAAGAAGGCATAAGCCTTGATAGAAGAGGTCGGAGATTTCAAGATTTAATCAATCTTCTTGTATATTATCAGTGTATTACTATGTGTCACACCAATCACTGATCTACCTTGGGAGTAGGAGTTATCCTTTAAATAAAAGAAGGAAAAAAAAAATGGAAGGTTTAAATTCGTAAATCATTAAGCATTCGAAGCTGGTTATGCATAAACAGAAAGCAAACTGAGAAATCTCCTCTGTCAAGCTATTTTTCTTATAGTTGATTTGTTAATAAATTAAACTAATTATTTGTAGATTTATTGGTGCAATTCTATTGTGTTAAGTTTGATAATTGTCAAACCTAGTTGCAACTATTATATCTCCATGCCCTTTAAGCTACTTTGCTATGCTCAACCCCAACGTCATTGTTCTTCGCTAAACTCAAGACCAATTCTCGGCTTGCAATTTATGGGTTCGTTCTAAGCATATGATACCGTCAATGGAGGGAGACGATGTCAATTACCAACATCACCGTCAACGGAAAGAGACCCATCAATTTACAACTTGTTTAAATTGGAACCCATTTATATTTTTGACGGTATCACTCTACAGATTCCCCTCGTCGCCTTCAATTTCTTGAGGTAGATAGACAAAGAGGAGTGGTAGTGGCCAGATGGACATTGCTGCGTCGGCCTGTAGACAGAGAAGTACGATTTTATGTATACATACACGCGCGCTTTCTTCATATATATATTTGGCCATATTAGGGTGACAAAGTTTGACACTATGTGTTAACATGACTATCTACTAAACACCATACACGATTAAGTAATTTAGTATCATTTAATTATACGAGTCATAAATAAATTTTTATTTAAGTTCCAAAAAAAGTATTTAAACTTATATGTTATAATTTATTCTTTTATAGATGATAATTTATTTAGTAATTTAGTTGAATTGAAACTTATTATTTTCTAGTATTTAATTTTTGATTGAGTATTATTAATAATTTAAATAATAAAATATTTGATTTTGTTAAATAGGTCATTAAACGGGTTACACGTTAATAAACATGTCAGGTTAGTGTTGAGAGTTCACGACACAATTATTAAACGAGTCGTGTTCGGATTGAACTGTTTAGTATAATACCCTAAGATCTACACGACACGATTACGATCTATGAACACGAATTGCCACCCCTAATTTGCATTGATTTTTTTCGAGTTCGATACACCATCGACCGATACTATGACCATAAACAATATTGCAAACCATGATATATATACATTTTGTTCTTCTCTTATTACTAGAAAAATTCTTTTGTCCATAACAGTAAATAAATTCTGAGTTATCCAATTTTCATTTGACATAATGATTAAAATTGCTACATCAACATCTCAAAAAAAAAAAAAAAAAAACTAACGGGTCAGTGGCCTAGCGGTATCAAGCTCCTACTTTAGGGGTTCGAGGTGGAGGTGTGTGTGTGAGTACTAACTAGGAATAAAAACTGCTCAAAAGGTGCAGAATTAAGAATTAAGCTACAATAGTAAAAAAGGATAACAATTTTTGGTCATGTTGTCGCCTGTCTCATATTAATCATTTTTTGTTTCTATTATTTAACTACTTTATAAAAATCCTGCCAAACAGGCGATGTGGGAGTTGTTGGGACACATACCCACATTGGACTCAATTATCAGATTGATTTGCTCGATACAAAGGACAATCCCTCTTGATGACATCATTAACCAAATCCATGTATTCTAATCATTCATATCTTAACATCAAATGTATATAGGCTAGAAAATTCTAAATTATAATTATAACATACAAGTTTCAATTGTAGAGGAATAATTTAGTCTTTTCAGTATTCAAGTTTTTGTTTGCACCAAAATTAAATGTTAAGGAGCTTTAAAAGGGTTATATACCTTCTATGCATACCATAAAGGTGTATTTTTTCCCGCAACCCTAAATTATATATATATAAGAGGGACATTTTAGTTATTTCACATTTAATTTGTTTTTCTTTTACCTATTTTTTTTATTCAGTTATATAGGGACACTTTAGTCTTTTCAGCATTCAATTCCTTATTTGCTCCAAAATTGAATTTTAGGGACTTTTTAGAACGTATAGATGGTTATACACTTTATATGCATATTATAGAGGTGTTTTTCGCTCCCTAATAAAACAATGTAATTCAGTCCTTGTGAGTTGGTGATTTATGTGGAAAGAACGGAAATAGTAGGTTATCCACGCTAATTATTAATACATCAAATAAGATCTAGGAACATGTAGAAGCTTGAAAAACAAGCTTTACTTTATTAGGTCTACCATGAAAAATGAAATTGATAGAGCCACTTTACTTAATAACCTTAAGAATTAGGAAATTCTAAGGATTCTTAGTCTCAAAAACTAGAAAAACTATCATTTTCTTTTTCGGATTCACTATGATTTTTAGTCCCTCCACCAATCATTTCTGCAAATTTTAGTGGAAGCTCTTCAATCAATCCAAGTCAATGACATAATAGGGGTATCATTAGAGGTTGTAATTGTAGTACAGTTTTTAAACCTCTTCAAACAGGTCCGAGGTAAGATTCATCGTAGCGAAGATGTTACTACCTTTTTGGATTGTGGAGAATGGAACATCAGGCCTTCCTGATTATTAGGAAGGAAGACTTAATTAAGAAAATCAAATCTTTGAATCATGATGTGAGAAGATGATGATTAAAGGAACGGAGTTATAGACACATATGGTGTATTTTATTTTTATTTTTTCGTGAAGTTATTTTTACGGGAATTGGGTTTTAAAACCCTAGGCTTCAGCAGTCGTTGCCACATCTTCGGTGTCGAATTAGAGGTCGGTGTATCTCGTCAACAAAAGCAAATCTTTAAATTCAACAAAACACATACTTGATTTAAGTTCTTTAAAAGAATAAAAAAACAATTTGCATTGTAAAATATAATGATTGAACGTACCTACTTCAAGAATGTGAAATTAAGGGACTTGATGGCTGATGTGATGTTTCCTAGAGTTTGGATTTGTGAATGGAGGGGACAATGTGAAATGGAGATGGGAGCATGATGTGAGAGAAACAAAAAAGAAATTGAGACATACACACATGCGAGGAGATAAAAACAAAAAGGAAATGATCTATCGGGTCTAATTCTGAGTAAATGGGTATAACCCATATTTTGTATTTTTTTTAAGTTGAAGAGAGGTATCAACCTGTCATTGGACCAACTCAGCTTGCAGGACTAAAATTATCTTGATAAGGTAGGACTCAAGCATTGTTCTTGTGATTATTATGCATTCTTATTCTAGTAAGTTTAATAAGCTTACTTACCCAAAAAAAATAAAAATAAAAAATAAAACAAAATGTTTAATAAGCATATGTAGAACTCAATATGCAACAATATTTTGATTGCATATAAAACTGATTAGTGACGCTACATTGCTCTTAAAAGAAACAATTCTTCTAAGTTCATTGGTTTGTGGAAAGGTCCCCTTGATTTGATTATTGATATATATTCTCCATTTTGTAAGGGTTTTTTTTTTTTTTTTTTTTTTTTTTTTTTTTTGACACCATTTTGTAAGTTGGACTTCAATTGCTTATAACTTATGTTAGGTGATTGGTGGCATATATAATTAAATTATTTTTTAATTTACTTAATAATAATATTTTTTTTAAATACTTCTAATTCTAATTTTATACATGATAATATATCATTACTATATTTGATAATAACAATTTTATAGAGGAAAGTGTTATTATTTTTTATTATAGAGGAAAGAGTTTTGAATATGAATTGTTTGGAACCATGGGATTTTAAAAGAGAATAGGAATTGGTGGGATTTCAATGGAAATATTATAAAGTATGGAAATCCGGGAAAAATAAAGGAATTTCAAAGAATTTGGTAACTAACTATTAACTTATAAAAATTATCCTCCAACAACCGCTACCTACAAACTAAATCTCCCATGCTAAATCGTAAAAAATAAAATAAATAAATAAATTATCAAAATCCCTTTTATAAATTCCAATTTATTCCAAACACCAAATAAAATCCTATTTTAATTACAATACTATTCATTTTCCAAAAAAAAATTAATTCCAAACAAAGTTTTGTCCAAGTATTAAAGATGGAACAATACTTGGGTCCAACCCAGGTTGGATGAACTCTATCCAACTTGTTGATGTGACCCAATATATCTAAAATAAGTGTCTAAAAATAAAAATTAAGATTTAAAACACATGATTAGGTAATGTCTAATTTAATTTTATATTTAATTTTAACACATGTTTTTCTTGTATTTACCCATCCACTTTGATGATAAGACAAAAAAAAAAAACAAAGGATTCTACTGAATAAGACCCAGCAAACAATATTTTCATTTACATAGAAGGAAAGGATATATATAAAAAAATGTTTCCTTTGTGATGTAAGAAAAAATATATAATAATATAAATATATGGTATTCTCGAAGAAGGAGATATATATAATTTTTTTTTTTTTTTTCAAAAGAAAAAAAAATTGCCCAACAGATGTCATTATGTCAAATCTCGGTGTAATTAACCTATTCTTTTTTTTTCTTTTTCACTGCACCAACCCTACGTATATATAACCTCACCGTGAGAGACAAGGAGACACTACGGCGTGTGATGACGTTACGTCGGAGACGATGGTGGTTGTTGGCTCTCCACCTCTTAAAAGTCAAAAGACACAAATCGTTCGAGTCTTTAACGCCCTCCTCCTCCTCCCACTTCGATAAATTACCCGACGAACTCTTAGTAGAAATTCTCCAAAGACTCCCTCTCAAACTCATTCATCTCTGCAAGTGCGTCTCGAAACGCCTGTATGGTTTCATCTCCGCTCCTCACTTTGCACGATGCTATGTGCACAATTGCTCATCTTTGGTGCCTCCTTTTGCCTTCTTCTGCCCGATGAATATTAGAGGTGCAGTCAAATTGACATCCGAATCACTCATATTTGAATGTCTGTATTTTTCTCTAAACTTCCTTCCCTCTAATGGCTTTGGAATTCGTTACTTAGCATCGAGCAATGGATTAGTATTATGCTCTAAATCTCAGTACTATGTATGCAACCCCCTCACAAAGCATTGGGTTGAGCTTCCTCCACCACCCACTAGGCAAGAATATTCGGTTCTCTTTGGATTTGTTTGCAAACCATCTCATTCTTTTGATTGCACCAGTAGCTTCAGAGTGGTTCGAATCCACAAAAGACAAATCCAAGACACTACTAATCTTGAATTGGAGATATTCTCTTCAGACTCATGGAAATGGACACAAACCATTGTATCGACTGGGGAACAGAAACCATCATACTTTTCTACTGTTGTTTCTTGCGACGGAATACTCTACTGGACGTACGGTGCCAATATTTTCGCCTATGATCCATTCAGCAACACTGATCAATTTCGTATCATAACAAAGCCCAAGGACAAGTATCCCGATGTCACAGATAGCAGACATAGCTTAGGAGAGCGACATGGCATCCTTAGCTTCATTCAATATTATGATTCCACCCTCAGCATTTGGGAACTCAAGGACTACAATGGGCTTGATTGGTCCTTGGTGCACAAGGTTGATCTGAACACTATGAAATTGGATCATTGAACGATTCCTGGGAATCTAAGCTTATTGGAAATTCACCCCATTTATGGAGATTTAATATATCTACATATTCGTCATACATTGGTACTCTGGAACATGAGGACCAGTACTTTGAAAGAAGTATGTTCTCTCAAACCTTACTGCATGTATCCAGTGGTCTGTCCGTTTGTGCTCCCATTCTGGCCTACACCAGTTCCAGTTCCAGTTCCTCTACGCCAACGGAATGTCCTTCGGTAATACTTCTCTCTCCTAACTTTCTTTGTCTTGTTTATTTTCAGTGAACTCCATTATTTAGTTGCATTGTTTGTAAAGTACTCGTCACTGTTCATCTTTTCACTATGTTATACTACAATGCCTTCGATGGATAACTTGAAATTGTTTATGTGATTTTCGCTGTAGTTAATTTGTCTAATTTTGGAAAAATATAATTTAGAATTTTCTAGCCTATATACATTTGATGTTAAGATATATTTTATGTTAAGATATACATGATTAGAATACATGGATTTGGTTAATGATGTCATCAGGAGGGATTGTCCTTTGTATCGAGCAAATCAATCTGATAATTGAGTCCAATGTGGGTATGTGTCCCAACAACTCCCACATCGCCTGTTTGGCAGGATTTTTATAAAGTAATTAAATAACAGAAACAAAAAATGATTAATATGAGACAGGCAACAACATGTCCAAAAATTGTTATCCTTTCTTACTATTAATGTAGCTTCATTCTTCATTCTGCACCTTTCTATCAGTTTTTATTCGATATTAACAATTTCTATTAGTTTTTTCGATATTTCCATGAACATAACATATCAAAATGAAGATGATTCTTGCACCTAATAGTTTTCGGTTTTTTTTTTGGAAAGTAGTCATTAGCATATGATTTTATTTTATTTTTATATAGAAAATGATTCTTGACCAAATAGTTGTAATGAATTACTAGAGGTACTTTTTTAATTGGTCAATTATACAACAAATAAGAAAGTAGAGCCCTCCACTTAGTTGTATTTGGTATAAATAGCCAATTGGTTAGGTAATTCACTGTAAGTGTTCGGTATTTGTTGGCATTATATTTTTAATTTATTTTTTTTTCCTCACAGGATTCATTTTCACAAGTTCATTAGGAGCAAAATAAAACCATTACGCTCAAAGATAAAATATTTAACTCACAGTATCCATTTTTTCATTGTTGTCTGTTTTTTTTTTTTTTTTTTTTTAAATTTTCAATTATAACTTCCTCTTGAAGAATAGTTTATAGTAGACTGTAAACTAAACTGTGAAGGAGATTAATGAATCGTGTCTTGCAAGAGTTGGTTGTCTTGCCAACAATGAAATCACCACTGGCTATATAGCGAGTTTGTGACTGATTTTTACTAAATAAAATTTTTCCTTTTCATTTTTTATATGAAACGGGGCAATATAGACTAGCAAAAAAAATAAAATAAATGATAGGGGTGATTGTAGTGTGAGGTTAAGAGCTTAAAGTACCACTTGTTCTGATAGCATTGGCTATTTCTTTAATTAAGTAATAGTCTGTATAAGATAGGTACCCATTACTAGAAGCATGCATACAGAGAACTTCAAAATATAATATGATACAATAGTACCCCTATTAGTTGTATTTCAATTTGAAACCAACCCATTCTCTAAACCAGGTTTTGTGCACTCTAACAATACAATGATTACTCTCCCTATATATATATATATATGTATGTATGTATATATATGTTCGTAATAACTTATACATTAAAATTTAGAACCAGAGGAAAACTTTATATTTTAGGTTGTTTAATTTTTTTGGACTATTTGTGTATGTATATAAATACAAAACATGTAATAGAGAATTTTAATTTAATTCTCTCTCTAAGATAAATACAAAAACACACACACACACACATGAAACATATATGGACAAGGCCTTCACCTTCCCATACCTAAGAAAGATACCTAAGAAAGGTTCAGTGGTAGTAATTGGACTGATAGTAGTTGAAGAACAAAAGATTGAATAAAATTGATGAGCATGTCTTTCTTTTGAAATAGAAGTAATGATACATGCGAGCGTATTACAAACTAGATTGACATGAGATAGATTATTCTAATAGACTGTATTTGAAGATATGAAATTGAGAATAATTTCTTTTTCTTTTTTTTAGCTAAGAACATATATTGAGTAATTGAAAATAAACATAGGCACGTCTCATTTTATTGATCATAGGCATTTCAACGGCTGTACTGCCAGTAGCAGTAATCCTACTCTTTTTATAATTTCACCCCATTCATCTTCTTTTTTTTTTTTTCTTTTTCTCATTTCAAGTACTTAATACTATTAGCATACTGATATTAAGACTTGTGTAATGCAGCTACCTGCTTAGATTTTGTACCATAGACAACGTGGTGGAGGAAGTGTGAAAATTTGAAAGTCATCTTGCGCCGAAGATTAAAAAACAATGTGAAGACGGACTTATTGATGTGTTTTTGACAAATTTTGAAATTTCTTTTGCATTTTGGCACATTGAACAATAATGAATTGTTGAATTGTAAAATTGTGTTTTGATATGTTTAATGGTGTATTTAAATACGGATTGTTTTGGTTATTGACATCAAGGGATAGTGTTAGCTTTGTGTAGTACTGTTTAGTTGAAATTGTGAGCAATACAGGTTATGTGTGGATGATTAGGTAAAATTAATTGAATGTGTGGAGAATTGGGTAGCATTAATTAAATGTGTTTTTATTATTATTATTATTATTATTATTATTATCAGAGCCATATGTTGGCTTAAATTTTATTGTTAATGCTTATTAGGTACTGGTAGCATGATTATTATCATACTTATGTAATGAATAATAAGACTACTTTTCTGTCTAACTTATGTTTAAACCAGATTCAATTATGGGTCGTCCAAAAGTCGTGTTGGAATGTTTAGCCCGCTTTTGGCATTAAATTGCTGTACAGGGTATTGTTTCCAGTAAATCGTTGACAGACGAGTAATAGAATCTCTCTTAAGCAGAACGACGACAGAATAGTAACTTACTATTCATTATATAATATTATAATACTTATACTATGCAGACCTTAAAGCATTAACAATATTTAACAGACATGTTAAAACCATCTTCCTCCTCTTCAAGAGTACAGGAAAATCAGGATTCAGAATTGGTAAAAAATACTAAATTAGTGGAATGGACCAATGTTCAAAATAAATTGAATAGATGGACTATCCCTCCAGTAAGTGCTAAGAGCATTTACAAAATCGGAATGCTTAATCTCACTGATCTATGGACTGTCAAGACCATGGAACAGACCATGCAATTAAGCACTCAAGACACAATAATTAAATTATTGTCTTCTCGTGACCTTCAGAGGCACATACACAAATATAAGTACATCCATATAGGTTTAATTCAAATTGCTTTTAAACCTTTAACCTTGCTAGGTATGGATGCTTGTATTCAAGCAACCCTTAAGGATGCTCAATGTCTGAAATTTCACCCTTCTTTAATGGGTGCATTGGAAACCAGTCTCTGTCATTGACCGGTTTATTTTAATGTCTATCCTAGTCTGAATTTATCTTTAACAGATAAAAATATCCATGAGGCAGTTAGTCTTCGTGTTCAGACCTATGGGTATGATTATTTACCTGGATCGGAAGTGATAAGTGTTATTTATCGCATCTATTACAAAGTACTTGATATTTTGTGTCCAAATGCCATACGCAAAGACTCTAAAGGAGTCACAGCGTTATGGGATACCAATATGTTCACATCAAATGTTGCCACAAAAAGGATGATTCCTTGGAGTGAAATAACATTTCTGGAACATTGGACAATTTCTAATGCAGTACCGGCAAAACCCATTGCTAACCATAGCTTGGACTGCGTTATTCAGGACCAGGATGGTGATGTTTTTCTGAATTTCAGAAAATCATTAGATCTACCTAGATCTACATCATCTAAAGGAAGTCATCTTCCTTATCATGTTTCTTGTCCTCCTTCTCGCCATTCGATCTCATCGGATTACAGAAAGGAAGAACTCCCTCCTGAAATCATTGGAGCAAATCCACTCAAGCTGAAAGGAATACAACAATCTCAGAATCAAATTCCAAGAAGAGTCTTCAAGAAAGCCCCAATAGGTATGTCTCATCGCCAATTTGGAATTGAATTCAGTCCAACTCCATCAGAAATGGGAATCGGAAATGAATCTGTCAAGGATCAATTTGACGATCCTACAGATATAAATGACCCTCATGAATATTAGTTTTAATGGATTTTGTCCCAGATAGAATTGCCATTAATACTGAATTTCAACAGGATCAATATAAAGAATTCAGAAATTGGTATTTTAAAGCTTTTGACCAAAATCAATTACAGCTTTTTAAAACCCAATTTTATGAATTTATACAAGAACGCAAAATGGTTATACCTTTTGTTTCTTGGTTTTTTATGATAAATCATTCTCTTGTTAATATAAACATATTGGATGATTTTCTCAAACCATAGACTTCATCTGAAGATAAGGTTTATCACTCTGTCCATCCTCCCACTGAACATTTAATTCTGAATAGAATTGACCCTGACAGTGGTGCAAAAGTGGAAACCAAGGCTTATAGCCAACCTAAAATAATTAATCAGTCTTGTAATGCTACTAAAAAAGATATTTCTCAAGTTTACAGGCAAAACAATTATACTAATGTCTGTATGCAAACGATAGGGTCCCAGCTTGGGAGAATTGAAACAGGAATAGACACGGTATTAAATACAATTAATACTAAGTGTATTACTGATAAGCCTTCTCCTCCAGAAGCTTCCTTCTCCAAAGCATTGGTCAAACCTGCAATTGAAGTTAAAGGCTTCAATCTTACACATCCTAAGAAGAATGAAGAATTTCTTACTCTTCTTACTCAGAAAATTCAAGGACTTAAAATTCAGACTTTATTCCATGATGAATCTGAAATTGGTTCTGATTCTGATGTGTTACCTCATATTGAGGCTTTTCAAACTGATT